CTCAGGAATTGTAGCTGGCTGAATTGTGCGGTCAATTCTCTTGTTTACAGTTGCCACATTTTCTTTTTCATCAAGTTTACTAGGCCGCTTTTTTTTTTTTTCCTTTTTACAGTATTCTGGGAATGTGATATTTGGCGTTTATATCAAGAAAGACAGGGGAACAATGGCCCGGAGAGAGAAAAGGCAACGGTTCCTTGCTTGCACGCACCAGAGAGGCTGAGGTTCGGACATAGACAGAAAGATGCTTGAGTAAAAACAAAAAAAGGGTGACTCACGCTGTAACTAATATGCAACGAATAGGGGACAGACATGACTTGGGTAAGGCGGAGGTCATGTACGAACGAATTTTGGGCTCCTTGGGCGATATGCTTGTTCTTGATTTACTCTTTTCCGTCCTCTTCCAAGTTTTTGTTACATCATATTTTGTTATTCTGCTACCGTGGTTCCTGGGCATTAGGTGGCTTTTGGGCTTGTTTTAGAACTTAAGAGCAACTTCAATGATTTATGAGTACATACAAATTGAAAGGCGTTTCAGTTTAGTTACTTTCCTGTCCGCTCTGGAAACATTCATTCATGTTATTTCAACTACTTGGTATAAAGTGTCTCCCTTTTCCAATATTGTGGTGTGAGTTGCGATCATTGCCAGCTGTCAGACGCTGCCTGGACAGCTGTTGGGATGGCGAGGTAGCTCCTTCCGTGAACTTCCCTCTATTCTCCTTTATCTATCGTAGCCTTCCGATCTTCTCTTGTATGTTGCAACCTACTCAGACCCTAAGAAACCCTCAACTGCTATCCTTTGATATGCTACGGGGGTAGCTAGTGCTGGAAAACCGTATCTTCCAGGACTGCAATGGCGCCTCTGACAAGAAAACGAAAGCTACTCAAGCATGGTGCGTCTCAGCCCTGCCGCCAATTTGCTCAAGTATGTCACTATATACGGAATTTGAACACTAATCTGTTTCCAGACGAAATTGAAGACACTGCTGTAGCAGGCAGCGATTTGGAACAGGATGCTTCAACCTCTCTTCCATCATTGCTCAAGTGTACTGGAGGCAAGAACCCGCGGACAACGCTGTCGCAGGACGGTGAAGCTTTGCTTCCTTTGCAAACGAGGTTTTTCTAACGGCTATAAATGCTCCTGATGTTTATTTTTTGCTGAATTCTCCTATGTTTTCTAGTGGAACTTATTCCCGGGTAGCTAAAAAGGCTAAAATAAATACCCAGGATGCGAGGCGGGATTTGGAGAACACAGCTCGCGACCTTCAGGCCCAAATCAAGACCCGCATTATTTGCCACGCATCGTAAGAGATTTATACCAACCTAGTTCAAACACATGCTAATATTTCTTAGTTCCCTGCATCAACTACCAACTATAAAGGAATTGATGACCAAGAATTTCCCAGATGATATTTCGATATTGCCTCATACATGTAGCACCTACCCGGGACAGACGTCCGGGATTGCAAACGATCCTTACCATAAAGCAATGCGTACCTTGGACGGATTTCGTGTTTTAATGAAGGATTACGAAGAACTGAGCAAGCATGAGAGCGATATTAGGATGCCCTCCTGGGTACGGTGGAAGCAAGATGGCATGGATTTGCAATTGCTTAGCGCAAGCCTCATGGGACACTCTATGAAATATGCTGAACAAAACATTATTCCGAACGCCTCCAGGATTTCCACAAATATCGGAAATGATGATATTGACCACATTGCCGCAGAATTACTGCAAGAAACGTGGCCACAAAAGATGGGCGGAACTTGGGGTAATACTACTGAGGGCATTTTACAAACCTTGTTTGGACTTGCTGTTTTTCTGCCATAAAGGGCTGCGCCTTGGCATTTACTCGTGAAGATTGGGTTTCATGCTTCAATAAAAGAGTTCTATAATAGTGTTGAAAAAAACGACAACCCATGTCAACTTAGAGAGCCATCTCAGTTCCAGCTTGCCACACTAGAAGACACAAAGATCACATCAAGAAAGTCGAGATGGCTTCCTAGTGTAACACACCCTTCCTTGGCTGCAGTTTGATCAACTGCAGACGGCAATTTTATGGAACGTTGAACCCCAGAACACCCACTTGGGGAGCTGACTCATCAGCGTAACAGTCAATCCGTGCATGTTAGAAACCCAGGGCATTGCGGGGCAATACGTGACCAGCTAACCCTGAAAGCAGACTAGCGCATCGCTTAGCCCACACAAACTGCTTCTCAATTTTCAATTCCACTCAGCCCTGGGATATTGTGAAAGTTTCCTCGAACGAAATTTCGACTCTCTGCTCCCACTACTACTAACCCACCGCAGGAATCTTGCCTCACAAATCGGTTCGTCATCCCAATACTCTCCTGGTGGCAGCATTCCTTCTACACTAGAATACTCTTCGGGAGCAAAGACAAATTTGAATTTGAGCTAACGTTGTTGCTACTCGAACAGCCAAGATGGGTGCCCTCAAATACGTCGAGGAACTTCAGAAGAAGAAGCAGTCCGATGTGATGCGCTTCCTTCTTCGAGTGCGCTGCTGGGAAGTACGTTGAGTCCAAATTACAAAAACATTCAATGGCATATCGTGGACGAGCGAAACGGAGTCAAAGTCTCTCTATTCCTCCTACTCGAACTTCATTCAGGGATTTGTTTTCGTCCGCCATCGAACCTTGCTGAGTTTCTCTTCGATAACGAATCATGGAAACAAAGAATTACGCATCTTTGATTGGCAACGGCGAGGAACAAAGGATGTCCGATGGAGTTTCATTCCTTGCTGCAATGAGAGAGAAGAGAGAGACTCGAAATATCCGGCCGCTCGATCTGTGCTATACACTCGTTGAACTTTTGCTGAGAGTGCGTAATATAGTACCGTCAGTTGAACGTAATTCACCGCGCCTCTCGCCCTTCGCGCCCCGACAAGGCCCGCCGCCTCGGATACAAGGCCAAGCAGGGCTATGTCATTTACCGCGTTCGCGTTCGCCGCGGCGGCCGCAAGCGCCCTGTCCCCAAGGGTGCCACCTATGGTACGTACAAAATAAGTTGAGGTCGAAGAAACCGGGGGGGTTCGCACCATGAGCTGTGCAGAGACGCATATGCATTCTCCCGACTGTCCTGTCCCACCGCACTCTACTTGCCCGTCTCTATTTCTTGGCAACCGGGCGCTGCGGTTCGATAACATTCGCGCTAATTATCCAAACAGGCAAGCCCACCAACCAGGGTGTGAACCAGCTGAAGTACCAGCGATCCCTCAAGGCCACCGCCGAGGAGCGTGTCGGCCGCCGCTGCGCCAACTTGCGCGTCCTCAACTCGTACTGGATCAACCAGGACTCCACCTACAAGTACTACGAGGTCATCCTCGTCGACCCCCAGCACAAGGCCATCCGCATCGACCCTCGCATCAACTGGATCGTCAACCCCGTTCACAAGCACCGCGAGGCTCGTGGTCTCACTGCTACCGGGAAGAAGTCCCGTGGCCTCAACAAGGGCCACCGGTACAACAAGACCCAGGCCGGCCGCAGAAAGACCTGGCTGCGTCACAACACCACTTCCCTGTGGCGCTACCGATAAATGTCCCGTCCGTGTATCGCATAGTGTCGCTGAATGGAAAATTGGCGTGCGTGACGGAACGAGGGAGCTTGGGGAGGCTGTTTGGGGCGTGGTTTTTGGCATTGCGTGGTTGCTATTGCTTGGAATCATCGGTCAACGGGGCTCAAGGATGGAAAAAAGGGCCATTATGACTTGGTAGCTTATCATACAAAACAAAACAATGTTGGAATGGAAATGATTCCCATAATGACGATAATTTCTTACCTGTCCTCTGTGATGTCGATGTTGCTTGCCTAAGGCGCTTTACTCTCGAGAGGATGCCAATCGACCGAGGCAACCAACAGGATAGGAGAACCGGATATCCAGGAAAAACAAATCATGACACTTCTGCTCTTGGCGTCGTTCCGAGTTGTCTATGATGTCTAGGATTGACGGGTGCAGGAGACATGATCTTATGGCTCCACCGTGAACAGAATTTTCTACAATCTACATAAACTGGCGGTAAAGGTACGCTTTTATGCTTGCTGATTACGGCAATACACCTCGTGGGGCAATTGACACAGAGCAACAAGAGCAAAAGCCATGTATTTATTTTATTTTCCGAAAGAGCCTCTCGAGATCATACAAAGGGTCATGCATAACAAACAAAGCAAAGCCTCCCCAACCATCCAACTGCCCGTCCAGTCCCATGATCCATTTCCCTCCTCTCACCAATCCAGCCAAAGCCCCAGATCCGGCGATTCAAGAAAGTGAAGAGGAGAATGGAGCGGCTATACAATCATGAGGCAGTCATAGAAGCCATGCAAGAAACGCGGGGATATTCCTGTCTGCTCTCCTCTCGGTTCTTCATGTGCAATACGAGTAGTCGTCACCCACCAAGTCCGAATCAAAACAAATCACCAGACGCAACTTGATGGTAGAAATCACAACAGATGGTGCAAAAAAAAAAAAAAAAAAAGTGAAATAGAATAACAAAAATGACAAGGGGGAAAATGTTTAAAAAAACCTCGAAATATGACAGGTCCGCAAGAATTGGTAGTCATCTCTATCGATGAAGCTCTTTCGTCGTGGCGATCAGGGTACGCATACAGGACATGACCTTTTGCTGTTGCCAGTGCTGGCAAGGCCGGTCAGTGAGTTTTTCTTCTGTTTCTCTTTTTTCTTCTTCCTTTTTTTCTGTAACACCCTTCCTTTGTAATGTACACAAAGAGCACACTATTGTATGTGCTGTGTAGATCGGAGGCTGAGCTAGTAATAAGGCAATGGCGTTCTCGTGCTGTATTTACGGACGATGAAACACGATGCACAATAAAAAGAGTCGTTAAGTCATGGCAGTTTCATCAGCGTGCTGCGTGAGAGGCTGTGTGCCATCCAGGGACACGAACCAAAAAGAACTTTTGAGTATGGCGCGTGTTGGTACAAGTGGATCGTGTGTAGATGGCGATGCGATAGGAAAGAAATCAAGATTTTACACCCAGCGAGTCTCGCCGCTGGCATCCACAGACGCATTTGCAGAATGTGACGGTGTGAAACTACCTGGTGCTCTTTGGTTGAACTGAGACTGTTGCTGCTGGCTTTGAGGTTGCTGAACAGGGGCTGACCCGGATGGAGGAGGAACTGTCAGGACAGAGCTGTTAGGATACGATGCCACGCCCTGACGAACACCTTGGTTGGCTCCAAGCCCAGTCAATCCTCCATTTGTGATGCCATTGCTCGGCAACATTGGAGCATTTCCTGACATGCCACGGTTATGGCCCTGACGGAGAGGGATCTGGCCTTGGGTATTATCTGCAGGTGTAACCTGACCACTGGAGGCTGCACTTCCGCGGTTATCATAAGCTGAAACCTTTGCTTGAATGCGGCGGCCATAAGGCGTTGTACGGATCTGTGGCAGAATGGGTCGAATCGATTCAACTAGACGGTACTTCTGGTGAGGCGTGGCAAATTCAAGAGCGGTTTGAATAACGTAGTTGGCGAAGGAGTCACGAAGTAGCCGCTCCATCTCCTGGGGTGCAAGCAGCTCTTCAACAATCATGTCCTTGGATGGCGCCTGGGAGCACCGCAAACACTTCTCGATGACATTGGAACTGAACTTGTGCCGTGAAAGTTGGCTGATGCAGCCTTGGAACATGGCAACCATGGGCTCTGTGAAACTTGGCTCATTGAGATCAATGATATACTGAACAACATAGTTGCCGAAAGGATCCTGCACGAGGATACGTGCGTGTTCTGTGATACGTCCGACTAGCCAAGGCTTCTGCTCACCAGAGGCGTGATCGATGCAGCGTTGCAGCACACAGCAACCGTGTCTGTGGGTGCCTACCTCGACGCAGTTGTTGCCAACAGCATCGAAAATGAACTGGGCATCGAGCGATGTAAGCTTGTTCAGGCACTTCTGGATAACGTGATTGCCATTGAGATCCTGAATAAGCTCAACAACGCGAAATCGTAGAGCCTCAATGATAAGATGCACCTGCTGAGGGGTGCTAACGTATTCAATCATCTTTTGCAGTGCTCGTGTTCCATGCTGGTTGAGCGCAATACGCACCATATCCTGCGATGCATTCTGAATCAAAACAGTGCGCTCATCGTCATTGCAGAACTCGAGGAGCTTTTGGCACAAATAATTACCAAAGGGGTCCGTCATGAGCTCGATGACATGTTGGTTGGTCTCGAGCCAAATCATATGAACCTGTTCGGGATTGCGTTCCTCTAACTTCTTTTGGAGATAGCGGCAGCCGTGTTGGTCCTTGCACAGTTCATAAATTTGTCCTCGGAAGGATTCAAGAGGCATGTTTTGATAGCGAGACATGGCTATAGGAAGATCGTCAATAATTGGAGGCCAACCCATTTGCAAGTACAGCTACATACCTTCATTGTCGAGCTGACGCCGATGTTGGATAACGCGGGCTTGGCTGTCTCGCGGCTGACCAGCACCCTGATTGTATGACAATGAGCCATATCCAGTGTAGTTCTGAGCAGGATACAAGGTGGCCCCGTTAACACCGTTCATGCTCATCTGCTGCATCCCTGCCGTAAGCTTTGGCATGCCGAAGCTGCCACTTGAACCAGTCGCATTGGAGCCATATCCATTTGGTGTATAAAAGGTGCTAAAAGAGTTGGCTGTAGCCGTGGTCGAAGGGCCAGAAATGGCGGTAGCCGAGCTAACTTGTACTGCGGTGGTAAGACTCGGGCCAAAGGGTGCAGCACTCGCCTGCAGAGCGGACTGGATAGACTGAAAGCCATTAGACTGCTCGCGGCCATTATTCATGCTGTTGTCACTCGACAGCTCACGATTATGACGTGAGGGCATTGCACCAGCTGGGATCCGGCCCATGTTGGCATTATGATTGTGGAAGTGTTGCTGAGCGTGATTATTGGCATTGCCTGACAATATAGACGACCCGGACGTGTTCTTAACAGTAGGCACATCGTTGGCTGAGAAAGAGCTCTGAAGGCGAGGAGGGGATGCCATATGGCTGCTCTGGGGTGACATAGCGACAGATGAAGGCTCTGCTGGGCTCTCTGAGATGTACTTGAGATCAAGAGAATGACGTAAAGACTGAGGTCGATTACCGATAGTGATGACTTCGTTGGATTTGCTAGACGATGATCCGTTGATCGCTGACATGCTCTGTTGGTGCCGATGACGGTTAACACGATTCCAGCCGTTGGACTTTTCAGGATTGGGTGACGGGGACAAGGCAAGATCGAGTGCAGCTGAAGATGCAGAAAGCTGAAAGAGAGCGCAAAACGTCAGAAAACAAGGCAGCAATAAAAAGGACGAGAAAAAAAAAAATACACAGGATGGTCACAGGGATTTCTTGAGCTGCTGGGGGATAGGCAGAAGCAAGCACAAACTGCGCGGTGAGGGCACGACAGCGACTATGAAGGAGGCAACCGTAGAGTAGAGGCGAGGTGAGGAATTGGTGAGGCCGTGCGGCTCCGACTGGTGCAGCAGGCAGGTTGACGCTGAGTCAAAGCAGTTGGGCGCTCCAAATGTTGAGCACCCTCACGAAAGTACTCGAATGATGAGCAATTGCGAGCAACTGCAAATCTAAGTGCAAGTACCTACCGCTGCCGCTGCCGCTGCCGCTGTCCAGCTGTTGCCGGCTGTCTCTTGTGGGTTGCCAGTTGTCGTGTGCCGCCTTTCCCTCTTCTACCCTCAGACCTCCAGGAGCTCGTAAACAGCTGATTCTCCCTGTTTCTACATTAAAATGCTGGCTGAGCCCTGTCGAACTGCCTCGAAGCCTCACCTCTTCGCTCAGGTTGCGCAGCCACCGACAGCAAGTCCTTCGCGAACACGCAATATTTTAAAACCACGGTTGCCTTCACTTACCATTTGATCCTCTCGACGCACGAGGGTGGGGAAGTTGTCGTCCGGTGTGCGGCCACGAGGCAGTGAATTGGGCTCGTCGTCTCCAAATAGGAAACGGGTTGTATTGGTTTGGTCAAGGTTCATATCGTACAATCCGTTACGCGACCTTGTAACGGGCATTGAGTATCGATGCAAGCTGACCCAAAATCATTGCATTAGCACATAAGACGAGAAGAGAATGGTCCACTGAATAGATGCCTTAAATCAACAGGTATGTTGAGTGCCACGTATGCCTCCCGGTGGGCGATTGCACATCATGGCCCCAACACACGAATTGCCAGGAGCGAGCCGATTACAAATTGCAGACAAGCAGAGACACTGTTGCCCGGCTGGTGCAACCACGCATAGACTGGGCACTTGCATTCATGAGAATCACCTCACTCGAGGCAGAAAACGGATGACAAATGTATAACAACAATGATGCCCAGAGTTATAAAGCAAAAAATCTTGGTTGAACTCGGGCGACTATGCCAACGCAAGACATATTCTGGAAGTTATGGTTACTTACGCATTTGTGGACCTATGACTAGTCGGGTCCTGTCGCACGGCCTCTTCTTTTTCTTCGTCGTCACTGTTACGCCTCGTATTCGGGTCCGAGCGAGAGGGCATTGCTCTCTCATCAAACCCATATCTTTGCTGCGTCAACCCAGATGGTGGGGATGTTAACTGTGATCCAGATCGAGCTGGACGGTTGAAGCCCGGGGGAGACGCAAGGCTGGAAGTCGAATAACGGTTTGGCCGCGAGAAGATAGATGGGAAACCCGAATTATCCCGGTATTCTGGAGGTGTTGTCGGTTCGGACTGATGTCCTGCAATTCGAATTTCCTCCTCCATCTGAGCCAACTCTTGGGCTTCGCGGCGCTGCTGCTGATCAAGCCTTTGCATCTCCAACTCGAAGCGCCTCCTCTGTTCACGAATCCTCTCATACTCAAGTTTCTTTTGCTCTATCTGTGGACAAATATTCAGTGATGGTTCGTTTCAAGAAAGGAGAACAGCGAGCGCTACACAAGCAGCCCAGCAGCGTCAAACATGGCTTGATATTTTCTGCGGTGGACGTGCTGTTGTCCAAGGGTTACGTACAAGCTGCACTTTGTGCAAGGCCTATAACCGACTAGATTAGCAGATGAACTCAGACATCACGAGCTAAATAGCAGAATGAACGAAGCATGAGACTAGATGGCATGGGCGGCGAAAAGCAGCAGAGACTCACGTTATTGTAGTCTGGGGTGGAATCCAACCCAAGGCCTCTTGGAGGCGAGGTCAACGCTGCAGTCATTGACGAAAGAGTCGGCACTCGACTAGAATCGGTTGTGAATCTTCGTGGCATGTTGCCCCGTTGATCATGGGAGGTTTGCTGGGGGATACGACCGCCGTTGCGAGGAGGCGAGACGAAACTGGCCATCGACGCTTCGTTCCGCGGCGAGTGCTGCGAACGAAAGCGTACGTCATCCATGGTGAGCGGCAAACGCGGGACTCGTACACGCCGGATTGGCAGAGCGAAATCGGTTTCTATACACCTGCAGACATGGAAAGAGAGCAGGAATGGTCAGCCCAAGTCGCAAGCCGAGAGCGAGAAGCAAATCCGACGAGGAGCACGTTGGGAGGCGGGGTGCCAGGATGAACGGGCGCGCACTCTCTGGAGTCCCTGTGCATATGCTATTATTTGATGGGCGCATGGGTCTAGGCCAAACCACCATGGTGAACAGGGGCAGGCACAAGCGCGAAACGCCCCGGCTCGGGTGCTGCCTAGTTAGCGGTGGTTGGTCTTTCACACCGTCGCTGATTTGTACCGCACTTGCGCACCAATCCACCCCAAGTCGGGAGTTGATGGAACCAACGCCAGCTCTAGCACAAGGCCATGACAACCCAAGACACTAGCCATGAGCATCATCCGAAGTTAAGGACAAACGATCATTCCTGTGCTTCGCGAGGGGTAAAGTTCTCGAAATGTTGAGAAAAAAAACAGAGAGAGAGAAAGAAAGAACGGGAAATGAGCCTGCTGCCTTTGATATCCCCGAAATAGAATCCTTTTGCACGGTCTCCTGGGAGGCGAGCTTAGTCCTTAAGAGGACGGTCGACATGACAGGACTGGGTGGTAACATTGATAGTGGGCAATCTCTCGTTTAATTAAGTGTACTTACCTTGTTTGCTCAATCCTCGGGAACGAAGGTACGCTGGTGAGATCTTGTACGGCGGGGAAAATGGAAACAAAATCAAAATTTGAAGACGACTCAGACGAATAGTGAAAGGAAGTTTAGGCGTCGCAACCCGAAATGCCAGTTGTGAGAGCTCCGAGCAAAGCTGCCGAAGCCCTCCACAGAATAATTTGGCGAGAGAGAAGAAACACAAAAAAAAGCCCCAGACAAGAAGGAAAACCTAGCAGGCGACAAAGAACACAGACAAATGCATAATACATACCTGGCTAAAAGTGCTCCGTACATGGGAGCCACTCAGTCAGGGCAGAGCACCGGACGCCAACGAAGCTTGCTAGGGTCTCAGACATCGTCCATCAGTGTCTCTCGGGGTCACGAAGCCCAGCTTCAGGCGCAAGGGAGTGGGGGGCATGAGGGGATACTACTCTTGGGCATGGGGCGAGTGGAGGGATCCTAATCGAGTCTCTGCTAGCCGGAGGCTGCGCCATCAGGCACAGAGTTCTGCACCTATAACGTCAGGTCTGGAGGAAGCAACTTTGAGGGTACGGAGTACTTGACTCGGTACGGGCAGTACTTGGCCCTAGCTAAAAGGTACCTACCCAGGTAGGCGCTAGGGAGGGCAGGGCTCAGCCAGGTTTCGGTGAAATGCCATCGGTGGCATACAAGACCGACTGACTGGTGGCAAGTTGGCCGGAACAAGTCGTACAGACGACTAATATTTCAAAATGCACTCTTGATCTGGTGTACTGGCGCGTCCTTTTTCTCGAAATCAAAAAGGGGGGTATCAAGCGCACAGCACGTCACGTATGCTTGCAAGCCAACGAAGACCGTAAACCAGCCAGCTAGGCATTAGCTTTGAGGCCACACGAAGTTGACTTCGTGGGCGCCTATTCCGAGCGCAAGAAGAACCATTCTACGGAATATATCGACCCTGTCCTTGGCGAGGTTCCCATATTTTCAATTCACATAAGGCTGTTGTGTTTTTTGCCTTGTTCGCCAAGTACGGGGTATAGAGTTCTTATGGATAGAACTCTTCTTTCTGTCTCCTCTGCAAATATCGGTAATCGGGACTCGTCGGAGAGCTAGGCCGGGTCAGTTGGCACCGTTGGCAGATGAGTCGGTTGCTCCCAAAGGTTGGGTTTCTAACCCTCTGCCAACTGGAGGGCTTCGCCAACTAGCGACTTTGTAGTACGGATTACTCCGTAGTTAGGCTCGCGCAGAATCCGGATGTGGGAGTTCTGTCGATACTCACGTGAGTTTTTGAAACAGAGCCTTGACGTTCAGACCAGGAGACAGCAGTTTTGTGGTGCAAGGCCAACGTCACATTTCACGGTCTCTAACTTCGTTGTTACGTGTACGTAGGGAAAGCACCTGCACATCAGTTGAACAGGACCCTGCATGTTCCACACCATGCTTTCGTCATGGCAAACGAACTACATCATTCCAGACTCAATGTGGTGGAGATAGCTTTTTAAGTGCTTGGGGTCAAAATCCATGGATACTACTCCATACTCCGTATCAGAGTGAATGTACATATAGTCTTAGCCTAGCAAGGTCTGCATGAACATCTAAGTGGGTACAACCACGATACTCTCCGTAACATGACCTCAGCAAGCGGTGGCGGGAAAGAGTGGAGAGGGTCTTGGAAAGGGGCCGTAAAATCCTTGACCGTTGTAACTCAAGATGTTGCGGCAAATACTTGGAAAGTCGGCAGGTCGAACGTTTGTTGTTCCGCCGTTCGCCTCAACATTTCAATCCCACGTTGGACCCGTATCAGTTGCGGCAGAAGAGTTGAAGCAGAAGAGGGGTTGGCTGGGTCTCAATCAAGCAAGTATGTCAAGTTCCTGTTGTCAAGAACGATGCGGGCAACTCCATCCCTTTGAATGTGATGAGGTGCCACTCTTGTATCGGACTAGGGTTTTAACCAATTAAAAAGCTTAAATAAAAAGGTACGTAGTCTTATTTAAAATTATATAAAAATAAATGTATTTAAGTTATTATAAAAGGTACTTTACACCTGTCACCTTTTGACCTTTAACACGGCCAGTTTTATTACTAAAGAGGTATCTCCTTAGTAATACAGAGAAATGGGGCTATTACAGCGGCGGCACCTTATCACGTCCAACGGGATATGCAACTAGTACGCGTTTCCTTCCGCCTAGGTGACTGGACAAATGCAAATACCATGACGTCCAAAAAGTAATAGGCACACAGTTTGTATGCACCAGTAGGTAAAGCAGAGGGCTGCCTCACAGCCAGAAGTCAGAAGTCGGAAGTCGGAACTCGCACAGAGATGGTGTGCAGGCCGGGAGGTAGTCACCTCTGTCAAACCACTTTATCTGATAAGTTCGCCGTGCGGTTAATTAGACTTTATGATTAGCTACCATTGCCAAGCCTGTCATACTTGGTTACTGAATGGCTCAAGGGTAGAGACAAGCATTCGGTTAGTGGTGAAGCCCAGCGGCTTGAGTGAGGTTTGAGTCAGGTGGCCAAGGTGCTTCAATGTTGGCAACAATAAACGGAGTTGATGCCAGAGCTCCACCGAGACGAGTTAACGAGAAGACAGAAACGGACCAGACCGAAAAAGACGGGACCTCAGAGGCTGGCTGGGCCCGATGGGACCCCCGCAATGCTGCGGCGTTGCCTTTTTTTTTGTTTTTTTTTTGTTGACCTCTCGACTCAACATTGGAACCCACATGAATTCTTGACGGCCCTATTGTCAACCACACCAGAATCCATCACCTACTCACTCTTTCACACCAGCCGGCCACAGACGCAGCAAGATGACTTCCGCCACCTTCTTCTTCTGTTCTTCTTCTTCACCTCCTCCTCAGGCCCTTTCTGAGGAGCAGAGCCGTGCAAACCCTGGCCACTAAAGGTTTGAAAGTTCCGCATCTGTTCCTGCACTCCCTGTACATCTATCTATCTGTACAAAATACACCCTGCCGCTTAGGGCACATGCAGGACATCGTTGTCGTGTAAGTCTACCGACCTCCCTCTTTTCTGTGGCACCCTCTTTGATATTTGCTTGCTAAGATCCCAACCAAAGGCTGCCCAAGTCTAGATTTCCGTCATATGTATCTGTTTGCCGCGTCGGCCCCTCTGCCAGCTACCAGTTCGGCCACTTTTTAAACGGCCGTGGCCTGTCCGCAGTATTGCTCACCGACATTTTGCATGGCTTGCGAAGAGTGAGTGGAGTGATCCAGTAGTCGTTGAATTTGGCCAGCGACCATGTGGGGTTCAATGCTGAGAGACGAGAGGCCAAGATGCACTTGAGGCCGATATCCGGACACCACACCCATCTGGACACACACCACAATGACGTTCCGTCCTTCCGCCCCTCCATGGCCGATTCTTTTTCTGTCGTCTTGTGTCTTGACCTGCATCAGCCATCTGCCATTCCATTTGAGGGACAGAGGGAGTTTCCTGGTGCAGATCCCGCCAAAAGCCACGCCGCTGGGATGGTTCCGTGTGAGAGCGGGGAACCTTCTCTTCGACCAAAGGTACATTGCCATGGTGTTGATGTACATTGCCATGATTCGGGGAGGTTTTGACACTTTTGACACCGTCTCACACGGGTGATTGCCTAGATCGGATTTGAGTTGTGGATGCGGATGAAGCCAACTGAAATAATTTTGGCTCCCCTCGATGGGAGCACAGTATAGCTGCCTTCGGAGGCTCTTGGGGGTTATTGCTGACAACGGTGCTTTCAACTTGCTTGACTGCAGTACACTATGCTCAAGCATCAATCGAGCTGGCGCCTTTTCTGACAAGCTGGAAGCTCTATTCAAGGACCTTTTTTGTCTTCTTGTATGACGGCACCACACATGCCTGCATATTGAACGATCGGGGTTATGAAGGTGACGTGGACCAGCGCATACATACATATCATGTACTCCGTACTGCGCAAACTCGAGTCGCACACAGCAAGCTGCTTTGTTCAGGGTGCGGGGTTGTGGGTGTGAGTACTTTTTCTTTTCGCTTTGGACATGAGGCTGGCTGCACTGGAACGGTCGCTGGGTGATGAAGCTGCTGATACGTTGGTTATGTGGCAGCCTTGTTGCTCTAATCGGCAGACCGCCGCCGAATGCATCTTGGCCACAGAATTTGCAAGTCCACTCAAAGACTCTCCTCCCAACCTGTCATGTCGATGTGTAACTTAGTCCGACAAGGTCGCCGTTAGCCAACTTAGAAAACAGTTGAAGGGTCGGGAGTGCGAGTTCGTAGACTACTACCTAGAGGTACCTAGGACAGATCAGGTACATAATGCAGGCGGCTTATCTTATCGGAGCTGGACAAA